CTGTATGGCAAAAATAAGCACACAACTTTTTATAGAACACAGTTTTGGGATAAAGAAAAAAAAATATTAGTTCAGAGGCAATCGACTCATCAGTGATAGACGAAAATAATAATAATATGAAGCCGAATATTATATTAATAACAACAACAAAAAAAAAATATAAAACTGATGGCAGACTTGTTATAGCTGATACATCAAATAAGCTATTCAATATTAAAAATAACTACTTTAATAATAAGGAAGGATATTAAGGATATCGACTTAGTGGCCAAAGCTGATAAAAATGATAGAAGATATATGAATCCTTTTAACATTGGTAGTTGGGTAAGATATGTAGAGAGCTATAAAAACTTTAGAAGTTATGACAATGACCAAACAGGCAAATTTGGTACTTCCTTAGTGAATTCTGCAAGACAAAGAACCTATGGATTGAGGCTATATATCGTTAAAATGAGAATTATGGGCGTATTTTAAGTCAAAAAAAAAAGGCAATTTTTATTTTTGATGTTTTCAGAACGAATTCTAACGTTAAAGCAAATATCATTCATTTCTGATTAATGTACACATAAGTCTCTAAAAATTAAAATTGAGTATCTCTAATATGTCGGATGCTGAAGCTTTTGATAAGTTCTTAATTGCTAGTCTCCAATCAGCACGAAACTAAAATCCGTATAATGGATGTAATTGATATGGATCATCCTTTACTTTATTGAGTGAAGTCATTAAAGTCGTTTATCACATATATGAGGATAATTGACAAAAATTATAACAGTAGTGTAGGTTCAAATCATGTGCGTGGTAAATGCGATGGTATGACTTACAGAAGAAAAGAAAGAGAAAGAGAGCAGAAGGAAGTATAGTTTGAGACTTGTTTATTCAATGTAAAAAGAATGATATAAAGACTATTTCGTGTCTACATAACTGCTTGTATTTATATTAATGAATCCTAAATCAAAGAAGTAAATAGAACTATAAAAAAGACAAATCATGAAACAGTGTTAGTATTCAGATATACATTCTGCTGATTCAAGAGACTGATTTATGGATTATATATTGGGTGCTGTAATAATCTGATTTAAGATTTAAATCGTTTGATCTGGGTATATAGGTTCCTGATGTCTATTTTAGTGGATCAAAGACGACCTAACTCCTTTGTCAAGGTTATAAAAATAAATATGTAGAAATGATACGATATCTTATTTAGTTGATACATCTAGGCTATTGGGTGTCAATAAGTCTTATATTATTTACAGGATGTTGTATACAGAGTTTTATTTCATATTCAGGCTTATAGTTTATCCTTTATTGTGTAATTCATCTACTATAATATTACTTATGCTTATATCCAGAGCTTGTTCTATAACACTCATTATGATCACTTTTTTTTCCTTTAATAAATTTATCATTTAATCGTAACAGAGGAATCATTAACGGATAATAAATCCTGTAGCTAATTCTGAACAAATTTTTTTTAACAGTTTGATAATGTTTCTCGTCCGAATAAGGCCAAAAAAAAAAAAAAAAAAAAAGAGAAAACAGAATTTGAACATATTTTGAGATTATTGAGATAACAAAAAAAGGTCAAAGGATGATGGAGGGCGGTATTAAAGACATCAATAATGAAAGTGTCGGTGAGACGGATTTAGTAGTCCATTTAGAGTATTAGGGGATGACAGTAAAGATATATTTTTATTGATTTATGTATAGTCTAACTCATGCCGTATAATGCATATTACTGACACTAATAAAGCAAAAGTAATAATTAATTGAGAAGAAATCATATTGTTTGAAATATCTGTAATTTAGAAAGCATAACAACATATATATAAAATGGTATGTTGGTTAAATAAAACATCGAGAGGGCCGAGAAGGGTATGATTATACTCTACCATTAAACAAATAGTAAAGGTGACATTGTATACATATATTTTATTCAATTTTCTTTACTGATAATCAAATAATAGGAGCTGAAGCCCTTATTAGGTGACAGTAATGTTAAGTTACTAAATGTATTTTTTTTTTTTTAAAAAAAAAGATATTATCTTGATAGAATACTAAAGATGTTCACTGGTAGGAACATTTGTCTAGAGACTTCAAATTACAAGAGGATAAGTATTATTGCCGAGAGAGTAATTTGGAAAGTTGATACTACTAGAAATAATAAGTAGAGTAATATATATATATATACGATAGAAGGAAGGTAAGCAATGCATCATTAGGAGAATTAATAAATGCAATCAAAGAAAGGTAAATGCGTATATAGCATTATAGTGAAATTATTTTAATGAAATATAACTCTGATGATTGTATTACATTACCAAGTAGTGTAGATCTATTATAATTTGCTCTCTAATCTCATGACTAGGTCAAAGTTAATAATACCATTTTGAAACGAATATCATAAATAAATGGACACTAAGTGGGTAGTTATAATGCTAGTAACGCATTCGTGAGCCCTAGAATTGACAAGAAAAATATAGCCTTAGAGTTCTGTTTATATAGATGTTTTATAAAATCGAACAATAGCTTTTGTATATTCATATTGCTCTATTTATTCACAGATCTGTCTTGTATTTCTGCAGTATAAAAACAGTGCAAATAAGTATTATTTTAAAATGTAATTTGCTGACATGCATACTCTGATGGTATAGACCTATATTAGGTATTTTGGACATGTTGCCCGACAAATTATGTATCTAGTAATAAAGGAAGATAGTGTTTATGAGTAAGTTCTTTTTTTTTTAATAAGTCTTGTAAATACTTGTCAAAGTTCTTCTTAAATGATGATATTCAAAAATAGAGATACATTCTTTGGTTTAATAACAAAGTAACGAAATAATTTAATTAGCTGTATCTATTTTAATGCGATAGTCTGTATCTGTTTTATCAGATTTTGAAATAAAAAATTACAAGCTGTTTATTTTATTTTATTTTACTTTATTAACTAAAAACACTAAAGTCATCCTCATCAGCCATAACTTGTTTCTTGAGTTCTTTTTGACGACGATTTTTTAACCGATTTTGGTTATCATTTGCCATTGGGGGTATTCTCTTTAGATTACATCCACTACATACAGGCACGCACTTCCAACAATGTTCAAACTGGTATCCACAAGACCAGCATTTTGCAGTAACACATACTATTCTCTGACATCGACTCACTTGTCTATGTTCTGTATCGGGTAGCGGTGCCAAATGTCTACGTTGACTATCTTGCTGCATCTGTAATCGTTGAATACGCTGTTCCAATAAACTTAATTCTCTCTCAATCTCATTGTCTTTTTGATCTTCTGGTAAATAACCACAAATTCTAATGTCTAATTCTACATGAGGATGAATAGATAGTCTATTCCATGTCTTTTGATAAACCAATAAATGAGGTTCAAAATCCATATAATAATGATAGATGTTTAATTTTTCAATAGGTAATGTTCCTGCTTTAAGCGATCCAAACTTCATCATTTCTTGTAGCAGTTTAACATCAACTTCTAAATTTGTATTTTCTTTTCTATTTCTAGCACTTAATTTTCGTAAATGTGGGAATTTGATCAACATAATAATTGGTGAGAGGTCTGCATCATCAGTATCATCCATTATAATCTACGTGGATCATCGCAAGAAAAAGAAAAAAAAAAAAAGTCAATGTTTGTTGCATAGAATGTTACAACATTTTAAATAAAAGTATATTACCTCAGTAATATGTTGACGTAAACCATTTGAATCATCTAGCTTTCTTAATGAGGAGTATATTCTATGTAAGTCAGTTGTATGATTTAAATCGAATACTATTCTTCTCCATAAATATTTCGAAGACAAATACATGTAGCGCATATGTCGACATGTGTCCATTAAACTTGTATTTGAACATAAATCAAGATACTGACTTATGTTAGCGATAATGTCATAAGGCATTCTTAATAAGTAAGAAATTGACATAGTATCAGGATTCGCAGCAATCATGACCATCAATTATTATGGAACTAAAGAGAAAAATGCTTTTCTATTTGATTTGTAAGGAGAGTTTTACTTGTGACATTTATTCCTTAATTAGGAAGGCAGTGATTTTTAAACTCCTATAAAATTCAATTGGATTATTGATAATGCATAAAATATTATATATTAGAGCATTATAACGGCTATATATGATATAGAAGATTGGTGAATACTACATTAAGTTATGATGATATAGGAAAAGGAGTCATTTAGTGTCAACAGTAAATAATGCATTCACTTTTCCATTAAATTAAACTTTTCTTTGAAAAAGGATAGAATGAAATAGATGTAACTTTGCATTTTTTCTTAAAAAAAAAAAAGGTGTATACATCATTTGAATTTTAAAGTACCCCCCCTCCTTTTTTTATTTATTTATTAAGAAACTATTATTTAAGCTTATGATAAAGTGAATTTTGTTCTATATTATACGTGTCAAGTTTATTATATATTTTAGACAACAATACTTTATATTAGAAATAGTTATATTCAAGCTATTTAATTGAGTAGTGCTAAATGATTTGAAACAAAAAATAACTTACCCTTTTTTTCAGGAGATGTACACGCAGTCAGGAGAAGAAAAATTAATAAAAAAAAATGTTATGATGTCAGGCAAATTGAAATATTTAACGCTGAAACTATTTTTCCCTTCCCTTTATATATCTAATATAATAAATACCTGTCTACTTTAGACTTTTTTTTTTCTTTTTAAACTTTTAATATTCAACCCCTATTTTATTATCCATAAAAGGAAAAAAATGTGCTCTTAAACATCATATACATGGTTAGAAATGGTAAAATCCTTCTGTAGTTTACATAACCCACTCTTTCCCCCCTTTTTTTTTTCTCTCTCTCTTTCTCTCTCACTCTCTCTCCCCCTTTTTAACCCCTTACTTTTGTTCCGACTTATAATTTGGTTGAATTCCAGACTTTATTTTACCTTTTTTTTTCTTTTTATACGTTTATATATTTATATAATATTCGTTAAATCTATAATAATCATTTTATTTTGAATGCTCAGTAACCAACAAAAAGATGAAAGATTTAGTAATGAAAAGCAAATATTACATTCAGTTCCAATTGTTTCTACAATAGCCTTGAATACAACTTCTGTTAGACTTCCAGCACCAACAAATGATAATACAGAGGAGCGTTTGAAACAAATGGATGAACTCAAATATTTTTTAGGTACAGCTACAAGCTATTGGGATCCTCATCAACAAGTCAAATCGTTTCATTTACCAACAGGGGAAAATATCTCTTGTGTCTTTTGGAATGATCTGTTTCATGTGACAGGAACAGATATCGTTCGTTGCCTCTTGTATCGTTTCCATCTCTTTGGTAGACCAGTAACAAATTTAAAAAAATTTGAAGAAGGTATATTCTCTGATTTACGCAATTTGAAGCCTGGCATAGATGCCTCACTTGAGGAACCCAAGTCATCCTTCCTTGAGATGCTCTACAAGAATAATTGCATAAGAACACAAAAGAAGCAAAAGGTCTTCTTTTGGTTTTCTGTACCTCATGATCGACTTTTCTTGGATGCATTGGAAAGAGATTTAAAAAGAGAAAAGATGAAACTGGAGCCAACTAGTGTCGCTATTGCAGAACCAGCAACTTCTTTATCTTTGGACACAACACAAGATTTATTTGATCAGCTCAAGAAAGCTATTTCAATTTCAGCTGTGGCTATTGCTAACGCACTAGATGAAAATTTAAAAAGTAGTAGTAATATTAATAATAATAATAATAGTAGTAGTAGTAGTATTAGTAGTAGTAGTACTAATAGTAATCATTCTTCATTGATCATCGAATCTTCTACGTCTTCTTCTTCCATTCATAATAATACTCCTAATTACATTACTACTAATACTAATTCTACTATGACTGCTACAGCAGGTAATTAAATTCTTCAACTGTATACAAAAAAAAAAAAAAAAAAAAAAAAAAGATCTCTCTGTATAATTTAATAAACATTATATGCCCTAAAGTCAACTATAAAGGTTATATATTAATGCTATATATGTATATAAAGCATATACTATATTTATATTTATATTTTTGTTTTCTTTTTAATGATAAACAAGGTATTAACCCTTTATATGCATATACATTTTGTAAATTTATATAGGCATATGTAAATTATGTCTATTTTAGATGACTTATCTCTTATATTGAATCATTGGACTGACTTTGAGCCATTTTATACAAGAAAGACATAGATTCAGTCAATCCCTATCGTCTCTTCCCTTAATAGCCAAAAAAAAATATCTCTGCTCATACATCACCTAAATTAGCCCCTTATGATAATAGACAACAACAACAACAACAACAAATGATTTTCGGTCTCTTTTTATTCTTTGATAGATCACCTACTTATAAACAACGTCAAAGAAGAAGAGGAAGGGCAGTGTCGATGTCTTGTATTGGAATAAATACCTTTCTGAGGACTCTTTTGATTTTATTTGCTATTCTCTCATCATTTCAATATATCATCTTGTAATAGTAATGGGCAAGGAATATTTCCCCTCCCCTTAACGATCATAAAATCTATACTTGTCCTTTACCTTCATGTGCTAAATCTTTTAAAACGTTTAGAACATTTGAAAAAAAAAAAGACATTCTAGAGAGGTCTTATTGTTATGATATTGCGTGATAAACAATTTTCAAGAACAGATAACCTTGATCAACTTAAAAGGACACATAATCGTAATCCTACTATGGATCAAAATAAATCATCACCTTCTTCTTCTCTTCCTAATCATAATAAAAAAAAATGGATACTTTCTCTAGAACCCATATCATGATGATGTTCAGTACTACTCTCGTAATAATAATAAAGATAATAGTCCTGATACATTTCTCCTTCATTCTTCAGTTGATGGGAAGCAGCCATATCGTCTTTTGTGGTATTCTCATATGAATTACAATTCATCTAGTGGTAGACTCTATTAAATCAAATATGTAATATGATATTATGCTTTGATTTTTATATGCATCTCTTTTTTTTTGTTTTCCTATTATGTAAACCCATAATAGATCTCTTTCCCGTATTTTGATAATATGTTTTATATTTATTAAATTGACAAGCTTTTATGTACAGTAATAAATAATTTTTATTTTTTTTTACTTTTTAAAGTTTTTTTTTTTTTCTTCCTTTACTCGGGCTTCTTGGCAACAAAGAAGAACATAGGGGTAAATAGGTTTAATCGAGCACCAGCAACCAAGGCATCAGCAGCAGTTTCTAAAACCTTTTGAGTTTCAACAGTACCCTTTGGAGCTAAACCGATCTTTTCCAAAAGACGAACAACATTAGTAGTCGTAAAACGACCCAGCTTAGTCATAGCCAACGTAGTAAACACATCCTTAAATGTTTGACATTTACGAATATCACCTTCAAGGGGATAATACCATTGAATAGCATCTCCCATATCAGCAAGGTCTTGGTTCATCAAGACATCAAAACCAACATTCTTCAAGGCTTGAACACATTCTTTTGTGGTACGCATCTTGGGAATACCATTACCAATTTCAATTTCATGAGCAATTCTCTTATGTTCAGGATTATTTTCATCGAAATTATCAGTCATACACCATTCATAACAACCAAAACTACCTCCAGGTTTTAAGACACGGTAGATTTCACCATAAACACCTTCAAATACAGGTGCATGACAGGTAGCTTCAATAGCATAGACAGCATCAAAACTATTATCTTCAAAAGGCATTTCCATAAAATTACCCTAATCATCATATATTAAATTTAGATAAATATATATATATAAAGAGTGGAAAATAATGTTATGAGTTCATTATTACCTTAACAAATTCGGTTTGATCTTGTAATAACTCTTTAGCAGCATAATAAGTAGCTCTTTGAACTTGATAAGCATTATTATTTAAACCAGTGACATGAGCACCAGTAAAATGAGCAATTTCACGAGCAGGACCACCCACACCACAACCTACATCGAGTACACGCATATCACTTTTAATACCAATATTAGCAGCTAAATAATGTTCATGACGAGCAATAGCACGATTGAATTCTTCACCCACATAATAACGACAAAAGTGAAAACTGCTTCCCCAACCTAATAGTTAATTCAAAGACAAAATAAAATGAAATAAAATAAAAAAAAGAGGAAAAGTGTTAAAGGCACGTATCAATTGCAAAGTGAAAACAAAAAAAAAAAAAATTTTTTTTCTCCCCTCAATTTACCATATTCATAAAAGTCAGTAGCCAAGTTATAATAAGAGTTAACAAGAGAAGTATAACCATCTAATCTCTTTGATTCATCTTCTTTGTTTCTTCATCTGCATTCTTCCACATCTTAAGGTAAGTGTCAGTGGCAACGTTATGTACATCTGCATTCTTTGAAGATAAGTTGGCTAAAAGTCCCTTTTTAATTTTGTCACCATGAAGAGCACGAGCAAAGGCGATATCCTCCGAGTTCTGAGCTGAAACAGTTCCTGTAGTCATTTAGTTTAAAATAAATAAATATATTTTGTTGAAAGAATAAATAAAAGAGGAAGGAAAGGAAGAGGGCGAGAATATGGTTACAAAAAAAAAAACAAAAAAAAAAAAAAAACTTATTCTTTTAAGATTCCTACATCCTATTTTAGTAATCTGGGAATATATCCGTTTTAATATCTGTCTCAGTATCCGACTAGGTTTTGAAATAAAGTTAGCTTTTTGTTTAGGTTTTTGTTATATACATAAATGGCGAAAAGTTACCAAGCAAAAATTAATTATCAGCGCTTGTTTGTACTGTAAATTTCAAACTTTTTTTTTTTTTTTTTTTTGTTCATAAGCTATTTGTATTTATGAAAACATCTTCATGTACAAATAATAAAAGACAGCTTTTATTATTGTGTCACTGCACAATAAAAAATAATTGTTCATCTTAGTTTCACATGCTTATTGTTCTCCTTGAAAAAAAAAAGCCGGAACTTTAATTTAACCTGTCGCGCTCCATATTCGAGTTCAAAGGAAAAGTATTTAATACAATCTCACCTCCAACTTGTAAGGTTTAGAAAAGACATGTAATTTATATAAAGATATTAAAAAGTATTACAAAATTTAAGAAGAGATGAAAGGTGAATTTATGCTTTTTTTTTTAAAAAAAAAAGGAGGATATAATCTCTTTTTATTCTATAGCGCGTTTAAGTGGTTGCATCCATATGCTTTTTTTTATTAAAAAAAAACGTGTATGTATGTGTTAAAATTAGATTTATTTCTTTATCAATTATTATATTATATGAAAAGAAAGAGATTTGTATATATTGATTCAATTCATAAAATAAGGTAAACTATTAAAGCTTAGCACCAGTAGGGAAGGCTTTCATAGCTTGACGAATACCAAGATCAGCCATAATTTCTTCTGAACCACCAAGAATGGAACCGAATTATACGTTCTTTGGAAGGCTCAATCATACGACCCATACCTGTCTTTGTGATAGCACGACCTCCAAAGATTTGACAGCATCATCAGCAATATGATGAGAAACACGTGTACAACGATACTTAATAAAGCAATGGACCTGCCAATTTAACAGACTGTTCCATATAAGACATATTACACATTTGATAATGATGTTTTCTAGCCAATTTTCAACTGCTTCTAATCTGAGATCATAGAAGCCAGCTTGTTACGAATAACAGGCTGATCAATAAGACGTTACCAAACACTTACGTGATTAGCCCATTTAAAACAACCTCTACAACAGCACGAGAAGCTCCGATTACAGCACAACAAATATACCAACGTTCATGGTTAAAATTAACATGATACCTGAAGCCCTTTCCTTCCTTACCAAGAATATTCAGCAGGTACTTTAACATTATCAAAGGTAATATAAGATGTACCAGCTGAGGGAGAATAAGAAGTTTAATTGTTTTGTTTCAATATGATCATCACGTTCAACGAAAACATGGTAATCCTTTATCAGTAGATGCAGCTACTGTAAGTAATCAGAAAAGGTACCATTCGTAATCCACTTCTTGACACCATTAATGATAAAATGTTTACCATCAGGGGTCGAGTGGCTGTTGTTCGAATACGAGCGACATCAGAACCTGCATAAGGTTCTGTAATAGCTAAACAAATACGTTTTTACCCAGTAAAACCTCTGGACTACTTTGCTTTTAAAGCAGGATTACCAAAGTAAAAATAGGTGGAAGACCAATACTATAACCTGATGAAATACCATCCGCAAATCCAGGGTTCCAACCTGCTGTTTCCTCATGAGCAATCTTTCATGAAAGTAATCAAAATCTTCAGGTTTAATACCTCCAGGTAATTTAAGACCTTTAAGCCAAGGTCCAGGACCAATTTGACTTGCCAATACACCTTCCTCACCTAATTTTGCATAAAGTTCCTTAGTAGGATATGCTCCCGAATCTTCAGATAAAATTGCTTCTGGTTTAATTTCATCATAGATAGCACGAATAGCTTTACGAAAATTAGTATGGCTTTCACTATATCATTAAATAATAATAATAATCAATACAGTCATTCATTCATATTTATGCAAGAAGAAAAAAAAAAGGAGAAATGGAAAAATAGGAGGAGTGAGGAGAAGATGTATAAATAATATTTACGTACTTGTAATAAGCGCTTTAAATCCCATCCAATAACTGGGCTCTGCATAAGGAACATTAGACAAGTCACCAGATTGACGAATTAAACCTGCGATTTTCATTTTCAATCACACCAATTTTAAGACGTGGAGCATATTTAATTAAAACGTCTTGTCTATGAAGAGCATAAAAGTCCTCTGATCAAATAAATATAAGTATATCATATCATTATAAATATATATATTTTTTATTTATTCGTTTATTTGTACCCGTCACATCTTTTCCGCCTAATTCAATCAATATTGACTACCACCAGGATGCAACTGAGCAAAAGTAGATACATTATAAACTGCACCATCAATAATGATCCAACAGTCATCTTCAGTATTATGTTTTGCTACTTCATTTCTTGAAAATATTTAATTTCAGGCATTTTTTGTGCTAAGAGAGTGGGGAGTGAATAAAAGAAAAAAAAAAAAGGTGAGAAAGAATAATAATAATGTGGAGAAATATTTAAATAAAAAAAAAAAGAAAAAAAAATTGCATGTGAAAATAAAAAGTGTTACAATGATAATAAATTCTATATAATGACATACAACAATCAATCATCTGATAGGAATAATATAAAATGATTTGCTAAAAATAAAAAATGATATTTTCATTCACAGCAACCGCAACAAACATTCTTTTTTTTTTTTTTTTTTTTCGAAAAAATTATGCCAGATTCATCAACAAATCAAGTCCAAGATGATTTAAAGATAAAAGAAAAACCATTTATATCAAAATACGCCCGACCTATTGAATTTGTTGTTGAAAGTCAAAAAACAAACGAAAGAAATGAAAAAAGATTAAAAACATCGAACGGTGATGAAATAGCTTCATTTTATCGCAGCATTATATCATCCAGTATAATGAAGATCAATCTAAGAATAGACAAAACAATAAAGTAGAAAAAGAAACATGGTTCTGTAAAAGTTGTGAAATGAGTATACCAAAATCAGATTACAAAAGACACATTCAAGGAACAGCCCATTTAGTGAGTATAGTAGTTGTGCAAGTCAGCCCTTAGCACCCGATATTCTTACAATAAATGAACTGTTGGTTTTAGAATGCTTCAATCACAAGGTTGGAAGTATGAAAGAAGGATTAGGTGCAAATAGTCAAGGACGTCGTCATCCTATTGCAACTGTCTTGAAGCAAGATCGATTTGGTTTGGCATTGGACATCAAAATACAGGAAAAAAATTAATTACACATACATATAAAGAAATCGAGAAAAAAGCAATTGAGCGTCAACGTTTAGAAAGGAAAAATCAAAAAGAATCAGGGAAAGAAATTGCAAGGAAACTGAAGAAGAATCTAAAAGAAGAGTTGCCATTTTACATTATATAAAGAATTAATAGCATAGAAGAGAGATGTCTACATGTAAAGATTATCATATAAATGTGTATTTACAAGTATTGCAAAGAGTTTGTCATCTATTATGAAGAAAAAAAAATGATTTTTTTTTTTATTTCATTATAAATGCTGTATATAGGTAAATTTATGACCCTTCATTATAATAATGTACATGTTCTTACGATGTTTTATTTTTTCAAAAGTGAAAGCAAATTTATGTTTATTATATGATGATGAATAGACAATCCATTAATTACCATGTCAGAAACAAGAAGCAGTTTTAACCTTGTTTACAAGATTTATTGTTTTTTTTTTCTCTTTATGTAAGCATCACCTGATACTACTAAACCTATTGTTTCTTACTTCCTTTTGGGTGTAAGTGCTTGTAATAATATAGAATGAAGTTTATGATTTTCTTTTACGCTGAACGTAAAATGTTTTCCTTTGACTTAATGGATAAGGTTGAAATTGTTGAATAGCGATTCTAACGTGTTCTGTTTCTTCATCAGAATCTATTATGATTTCTTCCTTCTTATTATCAATAACAGTAGTTGCTACTTCTAATCAATATGTTCTCTATTCAATTTTATAAATATATCATATGTACCTGGTGTTTATTTCTTTTTGTGATAAACTAAAATTAATTCATTTAAAGATTGACTTCTTCCTTCTACAGCTCTTTTTGCTCCCATCGAATGTATTTTACATGTTATTGATCTTCTACAAGGAAGATGATTAGTTGAAGTGATTACTCCACATTGTATATTTAAATCCAATGGCGCTTTTTATAATCATCAGTTATGTTTATACTAATATATACTATATATATATACGTATATACCTTCTTTTTATCTTGAATTACTGTCTTGTGCTCATCGATAGATAATCATAGTTCTAAGTGTAATAATAATATATTGATAATACAACTTCATATATATTATTACCGTCGTTAACTTTCTTCAACTGGTCTCTTTTTTTTGTATTCTTTTCTTTTATTAATATATTATCTTCTTCGTCTGATGATAAGGCCTTCTTCCTTAATATAGGCATATATCGATACAACTTTGCCAAGAAAAAAAATATGTATATATAAAGTGTCGCACTTTGAAAAAAACAGAGTTGTATGGAAAGAGTATTGCACAATTTATAGAATAATAATAAAAAAAAAAAAGCCGCATATAAAAGATAGGCCAACAGCTTAAAGGCAGTCATTTGGCAACTTGGTTTCCATCATTTGCAATTATTTGAGTAACACATTACCTTTTCAAGTATAGGTTGGATAGACTGTTGTAGATACCACCAACCTATTCGTGGTATCTCTACTATTAAAATATTAGGGGAAAAAAGAAATAAATAATTATGAAAAACTACAAAAAGACTAGTAAAATCAACAAGACCGAACAGTAAGTTCTGAAAGTCGATTATGTTTATTTATGATTTTAAATTATAAGCTCATTTATACAAAAGTGCCCCAAAATTTAGAGAGAAATTAAGAATGTATTGGTTACGATCGAATAATAATATTTAGTATTGTTAATGAGTATACAAATTCTTTAAATTTAAGTTCATGAAATATCTTCTTTAATGTTATTTGCTCAGGCACTTTTTAATCTGGGATTAAATACAGTAGTGGCTCAATGAATTTAAATATTTCTTTTTCGTGGGTAAGAACGATTCTATAACAGCTCTTTATTTCTATTATTCCTGGATATAACAGTTATTAGCAATCTCTTGGTATAAATTGAGGCGCAGAATGTATTTGTGAGATCTCTAATTAGTAGAATTCTTGTAAATCTTCATTTTATAATCAACCCATCTGATTAAATCATAATCTTATATATTCTTTATATAAATGCATCATTTGTATTGAGTTTAAATAAATATTTTTTGCAGTCATTACGATTAAACAGTTTTTATTTTTTATTATTTTTTTTATAAATTAAAA